AGCGCTGCGCCCCGCCCGCACGATCCTTCCGGTGCGCCACGAAGAAGTCAGGCGACGTCCTTCCCACGCGTGGCGACGAGCAGCGATGGGGAGCAGCACCGAGCGGTGAGGCGCAGGGAAAGAGGGCGGGACTGATGGTGACAAGGGGTGATGGAGGATGACGAGGCAGGGGGGGCGGGGTGGGTGCAGGTGCCTCGTGGGGCTCGCGACTTGTCAGTACGGCTCGTCAGTACGGTGCGGGAGTAACCAGGTGAAGCGACGGGCGAAAGTGCGAGGCGAGTGATGGTCGGGAGTTGCAATTCTTGGTGATGATTCTAACGGCGGGCTACGAAAGATGGCGGATCGAGCAGATTCCTGCCACCATGGATGTTCTTTCTCCCTCCGGACTGCCGGCAGGGGGTCGTCAACATGCTCGGCGGTTTGGGCCCGCTACGTGGCTGTGTTGAGGTAAGTGTTGGCCACGGTCCGACAATCTTCATTCAGCTTTTTGGCTAGATGTGGTGCAGGCCACGAGCAGCTGAGATGCTTTTGAAGCCGATGAAGGAGGAGGTGGAGGTTGGGGGAGAGAGAGGACATGACATGTGCGGGGGGTGGGAATTAGGGTTGGAAAGGAATTATTATGTAGATTGTCCGCTGTTTTCCTAGGTGACAAGACTGATGGTCGAGGTGCTAATTTCCGTCTGATTACAAGCCTATAAAATCCCATTTCTGCCGTAAAAAAAAACATAATCTAGATTTTTCTGACGATAAAGCATTCTGATGTTTTTATGTTTGTACCTTGTCTGATCATAGGTGCTTTCTGGATGTCGTTGATCCCTAATCTGAAATCCGTTTTTTCTGTTCTGAGCAAGATCCCTAATCTGAAATTCGTACTTTCTGAGCAGGATTCAGGAGGATTCCTAATCTGCAATTCGTAAATCAGAGTTCTGCTCTGATCCCAATGAATGATTACTCAATTCTGAATCACAAAGGATTACAAATTGATTTTCTCGAAGTAGAATTGATGTCCTACGTTTATCCATCTTTGATCTAATTCTAAATCTGACGGTTTTTTCATATTTGTGCACATACGTTTGGGCTCTTATTTTTTGAATTCGATTTTGGATTGTCACTCGTTTGAAGGAATTCCAAAAAACTGGTTACAATCGATTCTCAAGCTGTGATATTGTAGGGTTTGGGCTCATAGGTGCTGATTGAATTATCTCCTTCAGGGTTGGAGCCCCTCCCTGCAAGGGTTATACAAGGTGGGAGGTGTGATGCTTGAGAGGGTAGGGACGGTATTGTGGGTTTTGTTCTCCTTTTGGCCAGACTGATCTGGGTCGGATCAGCCACGGCGGTTGGAAGGGAGGACAAGGGGGCGTGCTGTTTTCAGCAAGATGAGAGGTCGAGAGGTGTTTCACTTGGGGGTTTTTCAGCAAGATGAGAGTTCGAGAGGTGTTTCACTTGGGGGGGGGAGGACACAAGGGAAGGGGGATCTTCAGCTCTGCGGGGGCATGCTCTAAGGGGTATTGCATGCTTGCTGAGGGAGCAAGAGTGAATTAGGGTTGTTCTGAACTGGGGCTGGGAGGTGGGGGGGCGCCTTCCAGCAGAGGCAGTCAAAGGACAGGGGCTTGTTTTCGGGGCGAGGAGTAAGCCGCTCGGCTTCCTGTTAGCTCTTTTACATCCAGCTGAGACCTGAATAGACCCAAGAATTCCCATGGGGAAAGAAGTAGTTCCCTCCCTTCCTTTCCCTCCCTGTGGGAATAATACGTGTTGACTGCCTTTTTAGGTTATGATTCCTGCATGTGAATCTGTGTTTTTTTTAACCCATTTGGATTTTTGAGGTTTCAACTGGAAAAATCGTCATAATTCTGGTGCTCGTTGCTGGGGATTGGGTTTGTGGTGATGGTTCGAGATAATGCGCTCTGCGGCGAAGGGGCTAGCCAGTAGGGCACATCAGCGGTGGAGATGGTGGCTCTACCGCAGTAAGTCTTGCCGTGATAAGGTTGAGAAGGTTTTGTTGGATGTTTGCAGCCAGTGCTTGAATTCTCAATTTTCTGATTTCCTTTTTTCTCAATATGTTCTTCAGAGAGGTGAGTCGGAGAAGTAGATGGTGGGATATCAGGCATCCTACTAGCTAGGGGGCTAGCTCGTAGGATTGGAATAGGGCACCGCAGTGGCGGAGATGGTGGCTCTGCTGCAATAAGTCTCGCCGGAGTGAGGTAAAGAGGACTGTTAGGGGGTCGGGGGTTCTGAGTCGCTTGTTCTTAGCCGAAGCCAGGTAATGGCCCTGGTATCTCAAAAAAAGGAAGGAGGGGGGGGAGCTAGAACTGGAAGATGGAAGGCAGTAAGGGGGCTCGTAACAGAGGAAGGTTGTTGGTTAAGGTAAGTAGGTTAGAAGGACGATGTTGGGACGACACAGGCTGGTGCTGGAGCTTTTGCTCTGTGACCCAAGGGGAGCTTGAGACCTGTGGAGTTATGCCGAGGGTGGAAGGCATAACCAGACCGTTCGACGTAGTCGGCGCCAGGGTATTAACCCTGTAACCTGTGTCAGGGGCTTGCCGCTAAGGGAAATGTCGAGGGAGGAAAGCACTTCCTGTCCGTCAGAACTAGGTTGGGTTGTGGTGCCCTGTTACCCTAGCAGAAGGGGGTATGAGATCAAGTGAGTTCTGGCACGAGGACTGAAAACCCGGACCGACGTTCCGTCTGCTGAGGGGAGGGAGCTTTCAATAGCAGGCATTTCAGTTTTGACCCCCCCGCTCTCATGTTTTCCAAGCTTTTTCAGTTTTTTCTGAATTTTAGCCTAGCTCATGAGGAAGTTTTGAGAATGCTTTAGGTTTCTGGGCACTTCTTGCAACTCATTTTAGGTTTTTCTAATGCTGTTATCTTCATGGATCTGCGGTTTTTCGATGCCAGAACGACGCTGGCCGGAGCTGGGGGGTTACCCTGTAACCTGTTGATTGCCGGAGCGAGAGGCCTGGCAGAGAAATCTGGGGTTGCCTTGGGCCGGGCATTCTAAGGGAAAACAAAGGTTTGCTGTCGGTACGACGCTGGCCGGAGCTGGGGTGAGTTGCGTTGCCCTGTAACCTAGCTGGATGGGGCATGAGGCCTGGGAAAGTTCGGTAGGGAATAAGACTGTGTTACAAAATTTTAGAATGTTTTGTTGGGGATGCCAGGGGTTCGGAGCATTCAAAGGGCTTCCGTGGCTTGCCGTTTTGACTTAGCAAGTGCTGCTCGAGTAGCCTAGCGATAGGTTAGCAGTTACCCATGTCTTTTCCTAAATTTTAATTTTCTAGAATCTCTTCATTTACTCAAGTTCTCAGATTGTTCCTAGCCGAAGCCAGGTAATGGCCTTGGTATTTCAAATCATTTGTATAATTCTATATGGGACGCTGGGCCCGGTTCCCAGCACGTGTTGCTCACCGCGAATAGACTGGAGCATTTGTCCCAAAAAAAAAAAAAAAAAACTACCATTCTCAGACAGGACCCAAGCACGGCCAGGAATGCGCTCAAAGACGTCACTCACACATGCCCATGAGACCGTCTGATGCAACCTGTTTCAGGTGGTGTACCCCAAGATACCACAACACATCTCAAAGGGTACTCCACCTCTACAAGTATACCAGACATCTCGAAATATGCATTCGCACATGGCCGCAGATAAAATATGAAAACATATCTCACTCACGAGCAGAAGTAACTCGAATCATATCCTCAACACATCCCTTACTTGCCAGAGATTTAATGATATCCTCAATACAGCCTCAGTCTCACATAAGCAAGCCAAAAAACACCTCATCAATAGATTTGCCCCAAGAAGTCCCGAAGTCCCAACCACGTCCCAGAAGGCCCTAAATTGGACCTCGAGCCTCAACGATGATAACAAAAAAAATGTGTTGTCCTTTGCATCACCCACAAGGATGACACACACAAATCAAGAAATGGCCCTTTCCAGGAGGCTCCATCTCATGGAAAGTCGGTGCCAGTTTCCAGTACGTGATGCCCCCCTCAAATATGACAGGAGCCATCGTTACATCGTCTTTGGAATCCAGGTGGTTCACTCGCCACCACCGGATAGAGGACCTGCACCATGATGTTTCTCCAAAAAAACAAACAAAAAAAAGAAGATATTCTGATTCCTGAAGGCATCTTACAAAATGGAGTGGATGGACGTTGAACATCCCAGCCACAACCAAGCTCCAAAGGCAAGTTCCATGAACGTCTGCCCTCATAAGCTTCCGCCAATGCCG